GGGGATTTCTTGGTTATCACTTTAATACCAGTCTGTGATTCTATGATTTTAATGTGATAAATTCTTTTTGAGGCAAGAAGAAAGCGATATGTCAACAGATGGAAGAATCAGGACACAGCAAAGTGTGAGGAGCTGAATGGAGAACCAGACCTGGCCCAGGGAAGCATATTGAGCTGAGGTGGCTGCAGCAGCTCGTCCATGACATGGGTAGTGGATTTGCAAAAGGAAAATTCTCTGGGATATTCTGATTATCCAGGATATCCAGCCTAGTTGTTAATTTTTCCCCACTCTGCTTCCAATTTGCATAAATACAAGAACTTCCAGGTTGCCCCAGTGTAAAAGCTGCTGGAATGTGTTATTCCTTTATAAAAAGCTGGGTTTTTTTAGGAAACATACGGTAATAAAAATGCAGTTGGAGAATGTGAGGAGAGAAATTGAAACAGGATGAAAGTTGGTTTGGTGGAACCACGCCAATGGGTGGTTTCAGTTGGTTTGAAAGTCTCTTGATTTTGACTCATTTCCTAAGCAAGATGTTGAAATCAAGAAAAGCATGAAATGGAGATAATGGAAGTTCCAGACAAACTTAGGGAAAAACTACTTTATTGTAAAGGTGATGGAGCCCTGGGACAGGCTGCCCAGAGAGGGTGTGGAGTCTCCATCTCTGGAGATGTTCAAACCCACCTGGACACTTTCCTGCTGTAGGGAACCTGCTTTGTCAGGGAAGTTGGACTGGATGATCTCCTGAGGTCCCTTCCAACCCCAACCATTCTGTGATCCTGTGACTTGAGGACTCTCTAACCTTCCCCAAATCACAGCTGAAGAACTTAACAGTCAGAGAAGAGGTCACTTTATGATGTCATTGTCCCCGTGGTTCCGCAGGTGGCTGACATGTTGGAGCTTCCTGAGATGATCCGTTGGACAATGGGTTACCAAGGGGCTGCTTGGAACGTGGAAACGCTCAACCCTTGGAGAGGAGACGTCTCCATGTGCCACATCCAGCCCCCAGGCTCCATGGGACACCCTTTTTTCTCTCTTTGGTGGCTTTACTGGCAGGATGACCCTTTGCTCTCTGACATTAGTCAGGAACCAGATGAGAGGGAATATGATGAAGATGAGGAAAGCTTTGAGGAGCTCAGATGGAAAATCCTGCTCTGCTCCTGCGCTGCTGTGTTGATTTTCTGTCTGGTCTGCTGTGCTTGGGTGAGATGTTATTTAATTCTCTGTTTTCTGCTGACACCTGCTGGCCCTCAGCAGAAGGTTATGGTGGACCTTGTACAAAACCTTTCTGTCTAAAAGGCTTTCACACCCTCTGAGGTTATTATTTATAATTACCTCATGGGATGATGTCACTGTTAGAACTGATCTTTAATCTCCAGGTATAAATAACTGATTGCATCTCTCCCAGTACCCTCCCCATCTTACCAGTTACAATCCATCTGTCTGCTAAAATGCTGAGCTACAACATGATCCAGTGGAGTATGTGCTGCCTTATAAACTGCTGTAGGACTCAAAACACCTGAAATCTGGAAAATTGAAGGTCTTGATTTCTTAATTTAAGGGAATTTGAGTTGGAAATGAGTAGCTTCACTGCAGTCACTGTTATTACACTGGTACATCGCTGCAGGTTTGCCAGAGATACACGAATTGAGAGTTCTGCTCCTAAAATGCCAGTTACATCTACAAATGGTGAGCCATATATTGAAATCCCAACTCTCATTCTTTACCCAGAACATTCCCAAGATGCCTTGTGGATCAGGAACGTGGAAATAATCCATTACTGCACAGAAGTAATAGTTCTCTCACCAGTAATCCCAAATTAATTGCATTTCAGTCAATTAACTTTGATTATCCAACAGCTGAGTTGCTGATGGAGCCCTTTGCCATGTTGGTGTTACAGTTGTAGCTTGAGATGATGGGAAATGAAATATTTCTATCCAAAGGTGAAACCTGTGGGATTTCTGAGGATTATGGGCTTGTTGAGAGTCTCCATGGAAATGGTGAAGGTGTGAGGGCTTCACTCCTGGCTACATTTGCCTGAGGCAGGGGCTGGTGCTGCTCCTTGTGCTCTACCACTCACCCTCGTGCCCCAGAGCCTCTCACTGGTGAGAATTATCATTATATAAAGAATTAATGTTTCTATGTTGGTTTCTAACATCTGTACAATGTTCTTTTCCTGAAACAGATCCTCCAGAAAGCCCAAGATAAAAGGATATGTCCTGACAAAAAGGAGAGCAATTCAAAAGGTAAAGATGAGCTTTGTCACTTATGTGTGGGGCTCAAAAAAAAACCAGTTTAGAAAATGCCCAGGACCTTGTGAGAGAGCAGGAGGTGATGCAGAACGGATGTGGAGAGGAGACAGGTGAGGTGCCAGGAGCACAAGGAAAGCTCAGTCCAGCATGGTCATCTCCCCTTCCTTCTCCTCTCCTTTCCTACTGAGTTGTTGAACATTTATTTTGAGAGGAACTGTGGGCTTGGGTTCAGACATGCTCTGTGGGTTTGGCAAGGACAGAAGCTCCCTCTTCTTTCCTGGCTGTGATCAGTAGGAGAGATTACTACACTTGTATCTTGGTTGCAAGAACTATTTTTAGATAGGGGGGCAACAACAGAAGGTCTGGACTTTACAGAAAAGCTGTGACTCCACCTAAATTTGATTACTTTTGAGGCCTTTCTAGTTGTCAGGGACCATTCTGACCCTCTGTCAACGACAGCACAGGCAAACTCTCTCTATATCCTCACAGAGATTTTAAGCAACGAGGCAAAGTTTGATTAGACGAGATTAATTTAACCTTTCACTTCTCTCATGTGTCATCAGGGTGTTTGTGATTCACTGTGTGATGCCACATCCTCTTAGGACTGTGCAGAGTTATGTCCCACCCTGTCCACGTTAATGTGCCAGGGCTCTGAGAGCGCTAATTGCCCTGATCCGCCTGGTGTAGGGCCACCACCCACGCGCCTTCCGCCCCTTGGAACAGGAGCTGCATTTAGGTGAGGCCATTTGGTCTGGTCCTTCTTTGAGTTGCTGTGGGTACACAGTGAGACTTGGGTCTGTAGCTTTTGACATCCTGGCTGTGGACCTGCTGTGTGACTTTGGATTTATCTGAGGATCTGGATTGTGGTTGTTCCTGGTCAGTGTCACCAAACCTGTTCTGCTTCTCTCATTGGGGTCCCGTGGGGCTGTGCTGCTTGTGGTGAGCTCTCTACCCCCCACCTGCTTTGCTGTCACCTTCTGGCTTGCTGTTTGTGGTGCACCCCTGCTCTTGCTGCTTCCTCATTTGCTCAGGTGTTTTAGGCCCTGAGCTGAGCACTACAGAGGCTGACTTTCAGCCTGGGCAGGACTTAGCCCATGGGATTTATCCTGTGGTTCAAGGCTGACCTCCAAACCCTGCAGGACCTCATGGCTACAGCAGGAGGTCACAGTGCTGCAGGCTTCTGTGGCCCCTTCAGTGGGGATTAGGAGTGGGCCCAAAGGTTTGAGCTTAAATACAGTGGTGGAGGCCTTGGATGAGGCTGGTCAGAGCACTCAGAGCTTGTTGGTGTACTTCAACCAAGGACCAAGTGACAGGACAAGAGGGAACAGCCTCAAGTCTCACCAAGGGCAGTTGAGATAGGAGAAGGTTGAAGTTGAGAAGGGTCTGGAGCACAAGTGTGCTGAGTTCCCTTGTGGCTGAGGGAACTGGGGGTGTTGAGCCTGGAGAAAAGGAGGCTGAGGGGAGACCTTGTGGCTCTGTCCAAGTCCCTTGGAGGAGGGTGGAGAGAGGTGGGGGTGGGTGTGTTCAACCAAGAAACAAGGGACAGGACAAGAGGAAATGGGCTCAAGTTGCACCAAGGGCAGTTGAGATGGGATGTGAGGAAGAATTTCTTTGCTGCAAGGGTTCTGAGGCATTGGAAGGGGTTGCCCAGGGCAGTGGTGGAGTCCCCATCCCTGGAGGGATTGAAGAGTCGTGTAGACACAGTGCTGAGGGACATGGGTTAGTCATAGGGGACTGGTCAGTGTTGGGTTCATGATTGGACTTGATGATCTTGAAGGGCTTTTCCAATCGAGGCAAATCTGTGATACTTTGAATCCTGACATCATGTTTGGCGGGATCTCTTGGCAGCCTTTAAATCTGTGCAGGATGTAGCATGAGTAATAAAGCAAGCTATAATTTTGTCCTAAATTAACTCCCTCCTTCCTGTTTTCAAAGAGTGAATTCACAGGAGGTGGTGTGGTCAGTTCTTTACGAGCCATAAACTACAGGTGGGATTTGACTTTCCCCAGAATTACTGTAGCAGGAAATTCTCATGATGGTTTCTATCTCTTAGGATAAACTCACATGATCAGATTGATTTTTAAGGAGAGTGGAGATCTTCTTGTTTCCCAAAGACTGGGTTAGGTTCAACCTCAAAGACCTGGAGACTCCCAGGAACATACTTTACCTCCCTGCAGAGCGTATGTTCTCCGCAGAGTGCCCCCAAGTTACAACAGTTGCAGGATGACTAATTCCTATGTGTCAAAACAGGCAGAATCTCTGCCTCAGGCTCCTTTTGTTCCCAAAAACACGAGGCCTGGCTTTACAAAAGACTTGCTCAGAGTCTTGCTGTGAATCCATGACAAGAAGCCCCTGGCAGTGCTGTGGAGGGATCGAGTGGGAGTAGAGATGATGGGAGGTTCCTCAGCGGGGTGCTGACAAATGTTGAGAGCAATATGGGTGAGATCTTCTGGGGATTGTTGGAGATTTCCTGTCCTCAGTCTCCTGAGGTTGGTTACAGAGTAGTTGAATCATTTCCCTTCTGTCCCACGTTAGTTCCTGGGAACTCCATCTGCAGTTATTACAGCAGAGTCAGCTCCTGGCTCTTCCTCAATAACATTTTCCATGGCATGAACAAAAAATGTAGCCAACAACCCTCCAGCTCTACTTGTCACCCTGGGACAACCACAGCTGAGTCTTCCCACGACCAAAGGCAAGAGAGATGGTTCCCAAAGCTCAGCCAGGAGACTGCCCATCGCCGTTACTCCTTCAACGGGAATCACAACAACTCAAATTCACGGAAGATGAACGAGATGGAGGCTGTTCCCCATGAAATGAGACGTAGACAGAGTCCAGCACAAGAACGAAGGAACCTGGAGACCTATTGGATCAGGGAACAGCCCTGTGGGCATTGTAAAGCTGAGAGGACCCGGCAGTGGCTGTTCCAACACTTCATCAAACCTGTGTCACCTCTTCCTGAGAAGGGCACTTCATTAAAAGATAATTTCTAGCAAAGTTCTCCAAGAAGACTCTACCCTGCAGAGTTGAACTTCTCCAAGTTCCTGATCACCCAAGGCTTGTTTTCTGCTCCTACTTGCTTTCTTGCTGCAACCTTAATTTGCTCGAAGCACTGGCTGGCTGGATCTATATGACATCATCCCAACTGAAGATTGGGGGAAAACTAGGCATTTCAATAAAGAATATATTTAATCTATCTGGTTTATATCTAGCAGTGTGTAACTTGTGTATAAGAGTGAATTTATAGCATGCCCTTGGGTCTAGTCTATCAGAGAGACCTTGTTGCCTACCAGGAAGGACCTGCACGCTGTCACCAGAGTGATTATTTCACCAAAGTGATTATTTTGAAGAAATAATTGAGTATTTTTGCTGAATTGAGATCTTTCTGCTGGTAACCTCTTTGTAACGAGGAGCAGGTGACTAGAAATCTACAGTAGGAGAAAAACCCATGAGCAGGACTCAACTGGTAAAGCTGGGATGATATTTTCAGCTTGACTCTGTTTTCCTTTACCTAGAAGAATGTGTAAAAGGACACCGAGGAGTTTTGTGGGCAAAGCTTTGAAAACAACTCCTCCCTTGACAGGTTTGAATGTGTTAAGTGGAAAATGTTGGGTTTTTTTGGGAGGTGAAATCGGTTTCCTGTCTGTTGTTTGCCTTGAAAGCTCTTGATAAATGTGAGAAGGTGCTCACATGGAATACAGGTAAAGTTTTATCTGAAAAAAAAAAGGGTTTCTTAACAAATCCTCTATAAATTCACCTTTGCTAGGCTGAGTTGAACTTCCTGTCGAAACATGAAGCTGATTTTGATCTTCACTGCCCTCTTCGGGGCTTCCTTGTGCCTGGAAACTTTTGTTGGGTGAGTTCATGCTTTTATGGAAGATTTTTTTATTTTCACTTACAGTTTTATTTTTCCCATCGTTGTTTTTCATGGTTTTAACTTTACAAAATCTCCTTGGGGCACATTCTTTGCTTTTTCTGACTGACCTGTCTTGTGACTTTGGTGTTGAAGGAAATGATTTCTACTTTCATTTGGGTTTTCTAAGATGGGGTTTAGCTGCAGAATTAAGCTCCTAAATTAATGTTCACCCAAGGTTTTGGCTTTGACTGTACCTAGGGAGCAGTCTCAAGCCTTGCAAAGCTTGAGTGTTCAGCGTGACAGATCTGGTTCAGCACAAAGCAGAGGCTAAAAACCATTGGAAAGGACACCAGCTTCCCTTTGGTTTTGAAGATTCTTATTTCTGTTAAAATACTTAATTCTCTTCAGAGCTTTTCCAAGCAATTCAAATCCTTATTTCCAACCATTATATTCTAAAGGTTTATCTGTACGTTGCGTTGAAAAATTATCTCCTGGTGTATTTCCTCACAGTTTTTACTGTGTGAGAACCTTAATAAAAGAAGATAAAAAAACCTTACAGATGCTTCCTGAGAATGTAGGAACTGAGCAGTAGATTCCAGTGAGTAAATCTGTATATGAACCATAGAATCACAGACTGGTTTGGGTTGGAAGGGACCTTAAAGCTCATCCAGTTCCAACCCCCC